TGTGATTAATTTGCATGCAAAAAGTCTTTTTAAAATTTTTTTAAAGTATTTAGGCTAAAAATAAAACTATGTTTAGGAAAACAAAACATAAAAATTCTAAACAGATAAATTATTCTGTGATGCCTGAAGGAAGGAAAACAGTATAATATATCAACAAATACATTTTACAATACTTTTCCTAGTAACTTTGATCTGATTTCTACACCCATGCAAGTCTCCAGCTATTTATGATGAGACCAACTTGGATTTCTAGTAGATAGAAATTTTTTTTGCAGAAGAGAAATTACAAGAGTGCAAAGAATCATGTACAATTTGTGGCATTCTTGAGATTATCTTCAGAAAATACTTAAATGACAAGATATGAGAACAGAGAGTGTTAAGAGTAGGTCATTTTGATTACTACCTAGCAATTCCATTACCACATTAAATTCCTGTGTAAAGTTTTAGTAGTCTGTGGTTCTGCTTTACTCAATGATTTTAATATTCTTACTGTCTTGAAGAAGAATTTCAAGTTTCTTTTATATGACCTCAATCATATATTTTAAAAAGGATTTGTTGCTGTTCAAATCAGGAAATGCAAAGTCAGCAATAAAGAAGGCTTTGGGTAGAATGCTAGAGGAAGGGCAGGAACACACACACAAAAAGTGTGTTTGTGTGAGTATATGTGTGCTATTCATACACATATGAATTCATATAGAATTTGTAAAGAACTTATGATATACTACACCCACTACTAACTGCATCCAAATAATTTTCCTTATTTAATTCTTATCCTCAAAAACCAATGAAATAGATGCTATTACTGGCCCTATTTTATAGATGAAGAAACTGAATAATGGAGAGATCACAGCCCAAAGTCATAGCTAATAAGTTGTGGAGTCAGGATTTGAACTCTGGTTTAATGACTTTTAACTAACAAAATGTACTCTACTCCTTTCACTATAAATAAACACACTGGATATGGATGTTAATGTTCCCTATTCAGATTTTTCTAATGCAGTTCTCTGTTCTTTCCCCTTAATAGAGATCCACTTCCTTCATCTCCCAATGACTAGCTCAACTTCTGGACCTCTCCTGACCCTTTCCTTTGCAGTGACATAGATGAGGGATTTAGAAGTCTCTTGTCCTTTACATTAGACCTGCTGTTTAGGCAGTAATTAAGCCCAATGGACTGGCTTTACTTTGAGTTTAGAGAGATATAAATTATGATGCTCAGTGTGTCTCATTAACCACGATTGCACTTTTGCCAGAGGAGGTAAAACTTGGCTACCACTCCTAAGCCTCAGGCATGCATTGACAGAATCAAAGGAATATCGCATCAGTCATCCCTGGTGCTCTTTCCGTACAGCCTTTTAAGAATAATAACAACTAGGAAATACATGTCTATAGAAGTAAATGCATACATTCAAAAGCTACATGTTTATTTTTTTCTCTCTTCATTTTGTCAAATCTCCTATATTTCTTAGCCTTCAGAGTAACTATTTATTCAAGTCCTGATTTCATTGGAGGCCAATAAAAATTATCAATCTGTAATTATTTTTGTGATCATTCAATGGACATTTTCATTATGCAGTGTGATTAGTTTTTGTAGCTTTCTAATTGTGATGTCAAAAATTGATAATTTAAAATTTGTTGCTGTTATCTGATGCATAAAAATAAACGGAACATATGATTTGTCATTGTTAACTATTTTATTTACCTAAATGACACAGCCAGTACCTATCAGAATGAGGCTAGAGAAGCCAGCTGGCCCTGAAACTTTACCGTCATAAAGGGTCTTTCATTCTGATTGTTATCTATAAATGTGTTTATTCATATAGGCATCATATTTATAATATTATATTGAAGGATTAATTTTTTTTATTTCTACATATTATGTACCTAAATGACACAGCCAGTACCTATCAGAATGAGGCTAGAGAAGCCAGCTGGCCCTGAAACTTTACCGTCATAAAGGGTCTTTCATTCTGATT